AAGTAGAACCAGATCCTGTACCTGAGTTTATGCGGATTCAGCTCAACAAGGTTGAAAGTAAAGGTCAATCTGTTGTATATGAAACAGACCAAGAAAAAGGTAATAAAACTGATGGAAAAGATAAGGAACTTCTCAGAAGTCAGGCTGATCCTTCTGTCAAGGAGACTTCAATGACAGAATTGTCCGATGATGCTGCAGTTTACAGGTCCGAATCAAGGGATGGTAAATCTTCATCACTTAGCAAGAGAGGAAGTGCTCAATTCAGTAAAGCATCACTGAGAGATGTTTCACCATCCAACGGAAATGTAGAAGTTATAGATTCAGATTCAAATGTAGAAGGAACCACTCCAGACTCTACTGTGGAACGTGTTGTATTACGAAAACCTTTAGTGTCTGAGAGAGCACCGCTGATGGAACGTGCTAGCTCTATGTCCAGCCAGGGTACTTCCTCCAAAAATGAGCAGCCTGAGTTGTTTAAGGTATTTGCTCGAAGATCCTTCAAAGTTAAGGATATTGAGAAGGAAAAGTCCCAAGAGAGTGATAATGATGAAGAGGAGAATATAGAAGGAACAAGCGAAGTATCAGAGGTCACCATCATACCTACTCGAGCTCCAGCTGCCTCACCTGCTTCCCCCATACCCAGTAAAGAGACAACATTGCCTGCAACCTCAATATCTCTCACAGCAGGGCATCAAAAGCCAAGTCTGAACACCATTTCCTTCAATCGTAAAACAGTTGGCAATCCAGCACTGTCGTTTTGTCCACCACCTGTTACAAATACAACTGCAGCTGCACCTGGGTCGCCCAAGGCAACAGTACTGGTGGTATCTGGTAATACCAGCCCACTACCAGTGAGCACAGATCTAACTAATAATGCAGTCATTACTTCTCGAAATATAAGCAACATCACTACAACTAGCAGCACGATGATTAGTAGTGCAAATCGAAGCATTACCACTATCACCACACCAAATAATGCCTCTGTCAATAAGCCAGTAACTGCCCCCATTCATGGTCCCACTGTGCGCTCATCAAATGCCATGGTGACATCAGAGGCTGGGGTTACAGTTACTACTTCCAGCTCATCCATATTTAGTAAGATTATCAATAGAAGTTCAAGTGTAACAGCGACCAATGAAGTTAACAAAAATGAACAAGAAAGTGCTCCAGCCACACCACCTCCAGCAAAGCTGTCCGTATCAGGCAGATCTGGATCAAGTATTGTCTGGCCACCACGTCCACTGCCACAAGAGGAAACCCAGCCTGCCGTACATTTGTCTCACACCTCACACGCCAGCGTTGCAGGACCTCAGTCCAAAAAGGTGTCAAGGAGTCCATCATCAGTAAGTGAATCTGAGGATGCCAAACCAACTGAAGTTACTGAGAGCAAGGAAGGGCCTGTAGAAATATCACCACTGGACATAGGAGCAGCACGACGAAGATTCATGAGTGGAGGTAAAGACCGTCCACAAGCACCAGCAACTCCTCCATCTCAGAATGTAAGTTCATTATCAGCTGCAACAGTGCCCTCTTCCCCAGGAACGGCGTCACTGCTGTCTAAACCATCATCGGCACCAGTAACAGAAACTCGTAGTGCTGCTCCATCCTTTACTGTCACTGTACGGACCCAGTCGCCTGCAAATGTTGGTCACACTGATTCTCAAGCCCCAACTATTGCAGTCACAAACACCTTAGCAGATAGTAATGTTACTACTTCTGTAAGTGCTAGCACTGGCAAATCTGAACATGGAGTAGCTCAGCAAGCAGCTGAAGACTGGAGGGTGCTTGTGAGGCAGCGCAGAGAAGGAAGGCTGAAGCAGAGTAAGACTCCGGACACTGAAGAAATAATTATTGAGGTGAGTACACATGGATATTAAATATATGTCTTAAGAAAAAAAAAAAAAAGGAAAATATATTTGCTGTAGATAGGTATGACTTTGCTTAAAGGATATGGTTTCTGCCAATTTTTCCATCCTTTTTATTTCTAACCTTTAAAAGTGCAATTATATTACCTCTCACAGACAAAAAAACAGTGATAAATAAAGCAGTAATAATAGAAATATCTATTATTAACTGTAGCCTCCTAAATTGTGTATAAGATTTGCTAAATATCACATTTGGTCCTCTTCCTATCTAGCAGATTTGATCTCTTCCAATTTGGAATGAGAAACTAAACTGTGTTTTGATGTTAATGTTGTCATTGCTCCTTTATTGTATATTTTCTGTATATGTTGTATATTTTCCAAGAACAAAATAGTCTTTTCCATAAAAAATAGTGGAGTAACAAAAAAAATAAATCCTTGTTGTCTTCCTGTTTTCTGTGATAGTATTTTGTCATATTTTGATACTTTTTAAACAAATATGGGGTATTAATATACTCAAGGATACATTATATATTGGGCCGTTTTTTCAGTATATACCTGTAGTTTAACATATATCCACGTTTAACATATGGCTACGTTTGACTGTATTTCAGACCCGACCACCAGTTTCGAGGAACAGCAAAGTACTCGAGATGGCCAACAACTTCCAGAAGCTTCAGGTTGCCTAGCAGAAGTTTTGTCCAGGACAACTCTGGCCGCAATGATTAAAAGAATTGCGAAAAGTCTTTTTACTATTAAGTGTTGTTGCAAACTACTTGTATCTGTTGGTAATTTTCAACCAGGCTAGGTTATGCACTTGTGATGTGACTTGTCATTATTATTCTTTGAGGATCTTTGTTTGTTTTGATGTTTTGTATCTTCTCCTTTTTATCATAAGTGTTTATCTACCATAGCTGTTGCACTGAATACATTAATATTGGTTTGACACTTCAATAAACAGTGATTTTATAGGATGGTCACAGTTCTGAAAGTGGCTTGAGGTGCATTGTAAGCTTGACGACAAAAAGTAGACAGGAATTAAATTAGTCTCAATAAGAAATTGTATATTTGGAACAGGAATTGAATTTGCAGTTCTATTGAATTTTTTCATTTAATCATAATTTGTGATATTAGTAAACATTTTTAATTTTTTTTCTATGCAGAAGAAATGCTGTTGACTCTTCTCTTTTTTTTTGCCAGATGTAAAAGCTACAGGGTTCTAAATGACAATAAAAGTAATGGAAAAAAATAGGATTGTGAATTACTCATCGCTTTAGGAACATGATGTAGGGTGATACTAGGTTGGACGTGTGACATAGGCTGTCCTTTTACTTTGAGCCATCATGAATGTTATACTGGAAAGCATGTTGTTAGTAAATTAAAACAACAGATGTTTAGGGCCCTCTTAGATGTGGGGAAGAAGATACTAATAAGCAGAAGCTATAAATATTTATGTAAATAACATATAGATATGCCTACCAAAATGTTACATAATTATAGAATTTTGAAGTGAAGTTATTTGTGTCATAACTGCTTGATGTGAAAAGCAAACAGCTATGACTAAAGACTTCAAGACTGTGTTGTAATAAAACATTTACAAAGATCTTTGTTTCATGTATTATGTAAAAAAAAAGGATTATAAGTGTAGCAAAGATAACATATAGATGCTGTGTATATAATGTGTAAATATCTTTTTTGACAAGAAGTATGTTTAGTCATAGATTATGGGATATACAGGTTTGTCAAAGTTCCAAATGGATATAATGATGTTCATTACAAAGTGGTAATACATATTGCTTTACCTTGTTTTTTTTTTCCTTTTTATTATTTTTTTATTTATTTAATTTTCTTTTTTTTTTGTAAAATTTCTTTTATTAGTGAACTGTATAATTGTAGCTTATATAAAAATGCAAAATTTCTACAAATCTCAAATGTTAGAATCTGTGGATAATTTTATATATATGAATATACACACACAGCTATCTTACATTTTTAGTATCATGACATATTCATTCAGGTTTGTAATATACATAAATAAATGGAATGTAACAGCATAAAACTTTATACCAAAAATGTAGGACTAGTTTGATTAACAGATTCCAATTCCCAGTGATATATATATAAACACAAAGTCCAACAAATGTAAATAAATGCTGAGCATCCAAATGGCATTTTCTTATACTTTGTGACGTGTTTTACTCTCCAGTTTAGACACTCACAGAAAAAGAACTAAATATTCTATTATATTTCATTTACACGCAGAAAAGAAGGACATTTGATCATATTCCATGTATGTTTTACTACCATTTCTAGCGCCAGTAAAATATCATGAGATAATACACACAGCAGTGTTTATTAGTATTGAAGGGAACTTGTGGTGCATTAGTACTGAAGGGGACTTGTGGGAGACTGAGGTTCTTGCACATTCTGCAAAATAAGTTGCAAAATGCATGTCCAGCACCTTTAATGTTTATCCCGATACAAGTTTATTATATGCTGTAATACAACCATATGCTATATTTCTCCTCCAAACAGCATTAATAATTTCTTTTACCTGTAACCATCTCTGAGCATAGCTATCTGGCATACTTTCTTTCATAGCTGAATGATTCCTCTGGTTTACCCCTTACATGCTACATGACTTTCACACTTTTCTTTTCTTTTTGTCTTTTTTGTTGTGTTCAATGCTTTGTTATTTGTATAGTTTGTATAATTTTCCTCTTCTCGTTTTCATATTTAACCTACAACCTCTACACAAACTATTCTACTTTTATTCTTAAGAAAATAATGTCTTAGGGATAAATCTGCTCGTTTTCCCCTACTCCTGTTAGAAATGTTCAGTAAATTTGAGTAATTCTACCTACTTTTTCACTATCCCCATAATTCTCCTCTTAACAGATGCTACAACTAGCATCGTTATCATACGGTGACTGGTACTTATGGTTCTATTTGTAATCTGCTAATTATTTTCTGTGATAAAAGCAAAAAATATGGAAAGAAGTGGAGGGGTATATTTTTTCTGTGCCCATTATTTTTCTCAAACCTCAGTTACACCTTTTTTGGAATGTGATCAGTCATAATTTCACTGTTTTTAAAGTCACGTTCCATTGATATGGAACTTATTTTTAGTTTTTCCATTCCCCTTTTTTTTTTTTTTTTCTTTAGTTAGATGTGAATTTACTATGAAGGATTTATGTTAATTTTTTTACATTCTCATTTTGAAGAAACGTGTTTATATACATTCTTGATATTCTCTTTTTTTCATTTAGACATATACAATATCAAGTGCCTCTGTTTGCAAAGTTTTCATTGCCTTTGTAACATACATGTGATATTATTTTCCCAAAATTATAGGATATATGCTAAAAGTTGGTCAAGGCAGATCAACTTGTGGTTCACTATAATGATGTACATTAAATTAAATACTTGATTATTTAGAAAAAAAAATTTACAAGTGTGTGTCTACATTATGTGCCTTTAATGTACATAAACAATGAAAATGTGTGTTTATTAGCCCTGTATCACAGAATAATGTAAAATGGATATTAATAAAATCTTATGGTAAAAAGTACTGTGAATATCATTATTTCTTTACAGCCTTATTATACATCTTTATGGAATGAAACTATATATTTTTTTGCATTACATTTACCTGATAACTTAAACATTCAGTATTTGGTGTAGGGATTTCAAAGTCCTATATTAATATTATGGTTTATGTAGATCTTGCTTCAAGACAAAAGATATTTTCTTAAAATAATTTTTTGTTTCCTACTGCAGATATAAAGAGAACTACATTTCTATACATTACTTGGGTTGAATAAAATGTATAAATAAGAAAACCAATGAGAGATTAGAAAGAAAACAAATTTATTTTCTTTGATATAGGAGAAAAACAAATATTAAATTACTGATAACAAGTCACTGATTAAATAAACATACTGTGAACCTTTAGTTTCCTGTTACAATGTATTTCAATATTAATAATTTCAATGAACGGTAAGAAATACTTGTGGAATTTGAGAAGTTCTGTTGATTCAGTGTCAGCAAAATGTTATAAGATGAATATCAAGCTTTCTTGTGATATTATTTTCCCAAAATTATAGGATATATGCTAAAAGTTGGTCAAGGCAGATCAACTTGTGGTTCACTATAATGATGTACATTAAATTAAATACTTGATTATTTAGAAAAAAAAATTACAAGTGTGTGTCTACATTATGTGCCTTTAATGTACATAAACAATGAAAATGTGTGTTTATTAGCCCTGTATCACAGAATAATGTAAAATGGATATTAATAAAATCTTATGGTAAAAAGTACTGTGAATATCATTATTTCTTTACAGCCTTATTATACATCTTTATGGAATGAAACTATATATTTTTTTGCATTACATTTACCTGATAACTTAAACATTCAGTATTTGGTGTAGGGATTTCAAAGTCCTATATTAATATTATGGTTTATGTAGATCTTGCTTCAAGACAAAAGATATTTTCTTAAAATAATTTTTTGTTTCCTACTGCAGATATAAAGAGAACTACATTTCTATACATTACTTGGGTTGAATAAAATGTATATATAAGAAAACCAATGCCAGATTACAAAGAAAACAAATATATTTTCTTTGATATAGGAGAAAAACAAATATTAAATTACTGATAACAAGTCACTGATTAAATAAACATACTGTGAACCTTTAGTTTCCTGTTACAATGTATTTCAATATTAATAATTTCAATGAACGGTAAGAAATACTTGTGGAATTTGAGAAGTTCTGTTGGTTCAGTGTCAGCAAAATGTTATAAGATGAATATCAAGCTTCTTTTCAGTTCGTTATTTTTTTTTTATAAACAAAACAAGACAATTACTGTAGTTTTTAATGAGTGAGAAACATAAACATAAAATGTAAAACAATCATCGTAAAATCCTTCTTAGATGTACTCACTCACTTTTGAAAGGCCATTTGTCTATTCCTCCCTTTGCTGCTTTGTATTTTAATAAATTTATAGGATAAAATTTCCACTTCCGTAATGTATAGAATGATGACAACAACAAAATCATATATGCAACATAACTTATAATTAAGCAAGGGGATTGATAGAATATACCATATACTCTGCTGACATAAATGGGTTCAATACACAAAGTCTATTTTCCATGGCTTTCTCAAAAGGATTCGCTCATCTAGGATAATACGAAAACATGACGATAATTTTCCAGTAGTGACTGATCCCCCGTCTTCAATATTGCCATATGGGGTAGTATTATATATATATATATATATATATATATATATATATATATATATATATATATATATATATTTTTTTTTTTTTTTTTTTAAAGATTCGCGAAGCAGAGCCTCGCCCGGGCTATGCCTATTTGGGGAGCCCGGTGGTAGTATTATACACAAGGATACATTATATATTGGCCCCATTACTTCATTTTTCAGATAGTTTCCGGTTCTGAATTATCTGTATATAGACTTGGCAAAGACTGATGCTGTAATGTATTCGCAGTCCTTAATGACTTTAGGAGATATACTTTTGTAACCAGGGTAGCATATTTTAAGCGTTATTTATTAGGATTATGACCTCTTCCATATTCGCAGACGATGGGGAAAATGTATTGGCTCTGGATGATTTCGAAAGATGTGTTGCTCTTTTGCATGGCAGGCCTAAGATCACAGTTCGTTAACAAAAACACAAACAGTAACGTGTTGAAAACAAATTAAATGAAACAGTATCACAATAAAAAACGGAATAAATAACGGCGACTAATGAACTCAATTCAAGAGTTCAAACGTTGTTTTCTTTATTCCGTTTCTATAGAAATACTGACGTTCATGTATGTCATCAGGTTTAAAGATATTTATATTGGCTGTCGATCACCTTCGCAGCGAAAGAGGGCGTAAACATTAATTCTTGCAGAGCCCCAAGGGACGCTTCGAGTTGAGAAGAAAATCCTGCAGTCGTAGTTTCTAGAATTTTCTGGGCTGTCTTTATCGCCTTAATTAATCTCGTCGTTCGTCCGTAATACTGTCTACGATGATGATGTTCCAGCGTTCTTCCTTCTCTGCGCAGTCACGTCTTTCTTCTTTGAGTACGTAAATTTCTTATCAGAAATAGTCGTTGCTTGGGAAGTTTCTAGAGGCTTTCTTAGCTTAACAACAATCACTTCGAGAGATGATACTTAGTTTTAAAAAAATGTAATGAAGTACCAAATACTTTGACATAGGCTTGTGATGGTCGTTCAGTTAACGTTTTTTTATAGTTTGAAAATACCATGATATATATATATATATGTATATATATATATATATATATATATATATATATACATATATATATATATATATATATATATATATATATATATATATACACACACACACACACACACACACACACACACATATATATCGATGTAATTCTCGTTAAAAAGCGGCATTATGTCTTCAGTCGGTTTTTCATATGCCAGTTTAGACTGCCATGTAGGCCTCTACCGAGCCAGCCGTGATATATGGACTTTACATATACTCTATAAATATGTGTGATATGCACTAATGCGTGCATATATGAAAGAGAGATGAAAAACATGAAGAATTAATATCAAATGATATTCAGTCGCACAAACAAAGTTAATAAACATATAAAAAACTTGAATAAAAATGTATATATTATGCAGTTCATAGAAAAAATATAAAGACTATCAATTATAACTGACAGGCAAACATCGAAGGATCAAGAAAACTACAGAAGAAAAAAAGCTATATTTCAGAATGAGCCTAAAGTGCAGAATGGTCATTAGGACGTAAAATTTTCTATATACAATGATTCTGTAATGCAGAGCGAGCCAGTAGAACATCGAAATACACTCTCGAAGGGATCCATAACATCGAATCATAGATAAAACCAGTAGAATGTATATATAATTTGAACGAATTCATACTGTTGAACAAGTCAGTAGAAAAAAAGATACTACAAAACGAATCATAATGTGAATCAGCAGTCAAGAACGAGCCAGAGAACAAACACAACGAACGAACCGTAGAATGAATCTATACTACATAATGAAGCAGAGAATGAACGCACACCATAGAACCCTAGACCAAACTTATACTATAAAGTAAATAGAATTAATTTATAGTATGGAACCGACGCAGAGAGGTATTATCTCCAGGTGACGCATGGCGGAGACTTCGCGAAATCATATTTACAAACTCCTCAGGAATTTAAAGTTCCACTTGGACATATCACGAGCTTGAAGAACAAAATCTAGTTCATTTCCTCGCAGATGAAAATACGATAGGCTAATAAAATCGCATACGAGTCGGCAATACAAAGGCCGTTTTGAGTAGATGAAATACGAACGTGAAAATAGTCGAGCATACTTATACACACACACACACACACACACACACATAATATATATATATATATGTATATATATATATATATATATATATATATATATATATATACATATATATATATATATATATATACATATATATATATACATATATATATATATATATATATATATATATATATATATATATATATATATATATATATATGTATATACACACACACACACACACACACACACACACACATATATATATATACTGCGATAAGAACAAATATACTACACTGAACTTAGCCAAGAAGCCGAGAAAAGTACGAAGTTCAGCATGAAGCTCTACAAGACCGTGGTGTTACTGTGACCGGGAAACCCATCTACTACTACTCTCTGCTGCATATAACGATCCACTCTTTTCTTCGTTATGAAACTAAGGAATACACTGCTCATATATGTTAGAAGTATAGAAACAAACTTTGACATTTATTAGGCGAATTGTAAAGTATTTGATAATCAAAATAGAAATAAAAATAATGACACATAAGCTGAAATGTAATGAAATAAGAAATAGAAAAATAAAACTTTTGTTGTGTTCCCATCTATCTATCCTTATCTATTTTTTCTCTTCATACTTTCTTTTTCTCCTCCCATTCATCTATCTATCTATCTACCTGGATATCTGATTATCAGTCTATCTATTTATATATCTACCTATTTGTGTAGATATTTTTCTATTTGAATTGTTCTCTTTCTCTTTCTCTGCCATTTTCTTCCATTCCCGTTGTTATGGTTTTGTTACTTTATCTTCTTTCTCTTTCTTTCCTTCCTTTGTTATTCCTTTTCTTTTTTTCTTTCCTTTTTCTTTTCTCCTTTCTTTCCCTTTTCCTCTCTCTCCTAGTTCCCTCGTTCTTTTTTTTGTGTGTCCCCCTTTTATGTTCTTTACTGAGTATTTCTCTTTATTACGTCTTATTTTCTCTCTCCTTCTTTATTTAGAAAAGGTAATTTACCCGAATCTTCCCATTCTACTTTAAAATTGATGGTACGAGCGAGGTTGTTAAGTCTTCTGAAAAAAATCGAAATCTAAACTTTTCATTTGTCACATAGAGGAAGTATCATCAACATAACGAAACCAAATCGTGTCGGGAAGGAGAATAGACGGAAGGAATTCAGATTCAAACTTCCCCGTGTTTAAATTCA